GGATGGGGGGTGTCCCTGTGGCTGGGCTGAGGGTGTGAGCTGAGAGCTGCTGTTGGCATTACCCCTGCTCTTTACTTCCAGGTGCTGTTGAGGAAATCACCTAGTGTTTCCTTTGGGGGCTGAGGTGAATTGCCTTTCCTTTGATTGTGTGCAATCAGCAGTGGAAATGGCGGGACAATTCCGTAGCTATGTCTGGGATCCTGTCCTCATTCTGACACAGATTGTCCTCATGCAGGCAGTCTATTACAGCTCCTTAGGACTCTGGCTAGCTCTGGTAGACAGCCTGGTACAGAATAGCCCTTCTCTTGACCAGATTTTCAATGATGAGGTAAGACACTTTTCCTTAACTAGAACATAGAGAAGGTGTCACACATTTAGAAAATAAAACACTGCTGTCTAACATGATCACTGGCATACTCTGAAATGTGGAGCCCTGAGACCACATTGAATCTTGAGTATCTAACACCACTGAGCACAGAATTAGGGTGATTCCGCGGTGGAGATCTGGGTTCAGTCTAACTAAAAATTCATACATGACAATATTCAGCTACTGATTGTGGCTTAAGACCTAATCTTCTGGCAGTACCATTGTTAGAAAGAGGACTACAACAATCCATACAGCACTTCTCTTTGCAGTGTGCACATAGGCAATTCTTCCAAAACTCAAATTTTTCGAGTGCTCCAGAAAAGTCAGTATCTCAGAGGGCAACTGGCATTCTGTATTTAGTGATCAGATGCAATAATCATGGGGAATGATCATGAGAGAACCTTGCTCTGAAACCTAAAGACAATTGTGTTGCAGAAGCTTATCCAGTCTTATCAAGACCCTACATTCAGACCTATAGGGTCAAATTCAGCCTTGGGGTAAGTTTACTAAATTAGTTAAGTTCTATCCAAGGTGAATTTCTCCCTTAGGTGTTCTGACACACAAGCTCTACAATTCTCAGATATATAGGTAGAGTTAACTTTGTAAATATAAATCCATAATTTAGGAAAACAAAATAATTTTGTTGTTTCTGTTTTGGGCTTTTTTTGTTTCAAATCTAGAAATATCAGTTTGTTAGCTTTTTAATGGAACTGGGTCACTGGGAAGAGCCCGAGTTTAGTAGAATCCTAGCTGAAGCAATTTTCAATTTATTTCAGTGCCTGTCTTATTTAAAATCCTATATAGATCTTGGGATTCTCTACCCCACCTGGAAGACTTTCCATGATGGCTTTCATCCTCAATGCACTTACCTGGTAAGTCAGCTCTGCAGGATTTCGAGCTTCTGTTTAGCCATACTGAGATTAGTCATCATTGCCTTTACATTAGAATTTAAATGTTAGCATGTGCTACCTAATATCTTTGAAAAGGCCACTATAGACAAGACATACTGCCTTTAACACAGTGGGGAACAGAGGCTTTAATTCAACCAGTTTAGCATGTATTAAAGTCTACCATGCTGCCTTGTCTGTGCTAGACTTTTCAAATGTTTTAGTACACATTAGGTAACCTGCTAACAACACAGCTTGTTTCCCGACTCTTGATGAGACTCATGCTGTGCTGATGATAGGATTGTGGACTGGGTTCAGAACTAGCTTAAGTCTTGTCTGGTGAACCTTGCAGCCTCTGTGGGAAATTGTGTTTCTTGCAGCCTGAAGGGATGTGATGTAGGTGCCTGTTATGTATCCACTGTGTGAGCCTGGGGCTTTGACAGTAAGTAAAATCTGTCACAGTGAGAGACCCTATTTTTATTATTTACTTGTTCTTAGCACTGGCATGATGCTGGTATCCTACACTTACAAAGCATACAGAGCCACAAGTTCCTTGCTCCAAGAGCTTTCAGTCTAATGGTAGGCATCATACAACAAGTGAGAGCTACAAACAATAGGAAGAATAGGCAGATGAAGACTATAAAAATCAGATCATACATTTACGCACATATTGTATTCCTAATCACCTCCATCTCAATCAACTAAAATGCTCTTCCAGGCAAAGTGCCCCCTTTGGACAGTCATCTTTTCCCCAGCCTTCCTTGCTATCCAGCGACTTCCTGTCCTTACTTCACATGTCAATCCCAGGCATATCCTCTTCCTGCGACAATTGCCCTTTCCTCAGCAATGCTGCATTAGTCCTGCTCTCAAAAGCTTCCAGGGTTGTTCCTATCCCCTGCCCCTTTGCCAAGTTATCCAAGCAGACAGCTGGTATTGTCTGATGGTCTTGTGTGATGGAATTAAACCATATTAGCAAGGCTTTTGCTCCACGAGGTGCTGGGATGTCATTTGGGTTTGGTGATTTACCCCTTTTAAATACGTGTGTGTCTGTGTCCTCAGTACTGACAGTTTTCAGACACACAACTTTTTTTCTACCACTGCAACACATTTGTTTAAATATCTTAATCGTAGCTGGACGGCTGATGAAATTTTTGGGTGTAAGAACTACAAAAATACCGGTAATAATGCGCTGTAAAACTTAAACAAAAATTCAGTTTTCTTTAAATTTCAGTTGTGTTGATGTACTCCCCAGACTTCTCTCGAGTACTCCTGAGGGTACTCGTACCACTGATTGAGAAACACTGGACTATACTACCATGGGTCATTGACCTAAGTTACTCAACTTCGGTTACACTATTCATGTAGCTGAAGTGAATGTACTTAGGTCTGCTTACCATGGTATATTCACCATGGTAAGTTGACAGCTGACACTTTTCCATCGACTCTGTTTATTCTTCTAGTTTTGGTGGAGTACCAGAGACAGTAGGGGAGCGCTCAGCGGTCGATTTATTATGTCTGTACTACATGCTGTAAATAGACCCCTGCTGGATCAATCGCTGCCAAGGATCCAGCCTGTAGTGAAGACATACCCTCAGTAATAATCCCTCAATGGAACAGTTGGCAATTAGAAGGTCTCAGTACAAGACTGGGAATGAGGAACTCCTGAGTTCTATTCCTGACTCTGATGTTGATTCTTCTAAACCCTGGTTGAATCATTTAACATCACTCTCTCAGTTCCCCATCTTTTAAGGTGGGGATAAAATCTGCACCTGATGGATTTTATGGAAATTAATATTTGTAAATAATTATCTGTGTATAAAGTGTTTAAAAAAATGCAAAGTATTTAGTCACAGCCTGCGGCCAAAGACTACAGAGAGAGACAAGGCAGAGAGCCAGCCTAGAATTTTTAAACTAAAATCTCATTCCTCTGCCTTCACGTAATTAAAATACCACAAGTGCTTACATTTTATTGTAGTAGTGTTGAGCAATGTCAGAATAGTCCTGACTTCAGAACAGTTAAAATTTATTTTTAACCAGTAAATTATTAGTATAGATAATTCCAGATGGTGCTGCTAGATCCCTCCCTCAGTTGGCCCCTACAGTATTAAAATGTTTACATATAGTTCCGGTTACATCTGTCTCTTCTTTCTTCTTGCAGTGCTTTGGGCTTGTTGTACTTTGTCCGGCGAGGAAAGCAGTGTTTGGATTTCACAGTTACGATTCATTTTTTCCATCTGCTGAGTTGCTGGATTTATAATGCACATTTTCCCACAGCTCTAACATGGTGGCTAGTACATATAGTGTGCACTGCACTCATGGCTGTGATTGGGGAATATCTCTGTATGAGAACAGAACTCAAAGAAATCCCATTGAATTCAGCCCCCAAATCCAGTGTATAAACTTGTTCTGAGGATGTATTGTATCTGGTCATCATTTCCAGGACCTTGGCAGTGGCATGAGACAGTGCAGAAAACTTCCATTAAAGAAGCACAGCTGGTCTGTTTAGACTTTTTTTAGATTTTGGAGGCTGCAGGAGTGTGAAGAACTTTGTGGTTGGCATAAGAAAATGAACAAAGCAGAAGATTTATTTTAATAACACAAGGCATTTAACATGACTATTACATGTGAGTGTTTTCACTCTTCATTCAAGTGATATGGTCCAGGAAAAAGTCAGACAACAAAACCTAGAGCATGAGAATCAACTGGAATTTAACAAGGTGCAAGGTCCTTGGATGGTGGAGCTGGAATGATCAAACTGTCTGGGAGAAATGCATAGTGTTTGACTAGGAGCTGCTGCTTACCTCCTCTAACACATTTTTTCTGTTTGTTGTTTTTTTGTTTTAAAATCAAGGTGCTAAACTGATGTAGGATTAAAAATAATTGTCTGAGTCACCAGTTGTGAACCTACAAAGGCCTGTAAGTTCATACAGGTTCAGTTAATGTTGCTGTGTTTAGTTCCTAGTGTAGATGTAAGGCAACATACATTGGTGGATTGAAAAAACTCTTTTTTAACAAAGTGGTAAAAATGGTATTGAGTTGCCTTCCTGGTGAGCTGAACATTTTGAGCTTCACAGTGAATGTCCACATAATAGCAGTGGTGTAAGGTCTGGCCAGAAAGGAACATCAGTGATCGCATTCTAAGGTTTGTTAAACACGGCAAACCAGAAATCCAGAAGCCAGTTAAAATTAACCATCTTATTCTCATCCTGCACGGAGGGTTGGCCATAACATTCACCAAATGTTGAATTGTAGGTTGGAGTTGGTTGAGGGAAGCTTTCTGCTGCTGTATGTTACAAGTATCTTTCATCATCCCCATTCTATAATAACCTACATCTTCCTACCAATTGTCAGATTCCAGTTCCTAATCCTGCCTGAAAGTGGCCACCAGAGACTGTTTTCCGAAATTGGTAGGTGTTTCTTGCTGGAGAATGCCATACAGAGGACTGTTAATTGTCTCTTATGCTGTTTAATGAGATGGTGCCTTTGATGGGGCACTTTAAATAAAACCTCCCTTCACAAGACACTGACCCTAGTGTTTCCTAAGCAAGCTGGAGGCCAAATGGTCTCCTATGGTCTTGTATCCCAAGGGGACAGTCTTATCTCTAGTTGTGCAATTTCCCTTTAAGGGATGTTAAGTCTGTGCTGACTGTGTCATTCTGAATGGGGGCAAACTAGGGTTTTAATGTTGAAATTCCTTTTTTTCCCCCTGTGTGTCTTGCTGCTACCCACCTCTTTTCTTTGTACATTAATATTGGTGAATATTATTAGTTTAAATAAATTATATTGCTAATTTAATGTGCGGTTTGTAAATAATTGAAATTGGGATGATTTGACATGGCATTTGATAATGTCTCTCTTGATTTTTGTTATTGTTAATTTCAAAGTTTACTGCAACTGCTCATCTCATATGTTCATGTTAGGGATGTGAAAGTGTAAACAAGTAAACAGTTAATGGATAAGCCTGGACTTATCGATTAACATTCATGGTTACACGCAGGCTCCCACTCAGCACCAGGGGAGCCAGCTGCCACCCTGCCCACAGCTGCTGCCTCTATAAGAGGCAGCAGCACAGGACAGCAGCCAGCTCCCCAGGAGTGAGGCAGCAGGCAAGAGCTGGTGTGTGCGGGAGATGGCTTAAAAGCTGGCTGCAGGTGCAGGTAACCATGTAACTGCTGAGATTTTCAGCGGTTACATGTTTGCCCAATTACCTAGTTCATATTAAGGATGTTAAGAGGCGAGTAATTGACTAATTATGTAGTCAGTAGAATTTGTATCAGTGCTCTGTCCTGACTCACACCAATCTAGGCGCTACTTCTGCTGCAGCTCTGCAGTTTAAATGTAGAAGGAGCAGGCAGCCTGGTTCCTACTACGTACATTTAAACTGTGGAGCTGCGAGCCAGGACAGAGCTGTGACTACTGTGGCTCTGCATTTTAAACATAGTAAGAGCCAGGTGGCGAGGTTAGGAGGAGGCAACACCGTGGAGACAGGCTCCTGTACCAGAGACAGCAAGGAGTGGCGGGGAGCAAGTAGTTGACTACTCGACTACCTGCTTACATCCGTACTTCTTATATAGTGTTTTCATCCAGGGTAATTTATTTATTTATTTGAAACTGACTGATTGTGGAATAGAGAGCCTCTCTGTACTGTCAATGAATAGACTGCTGCTGCTTTCATGACTAGAGCACAGTGGCATTATGAGTAGGGATGTCAATGAATAGTTAACTAGACGATTGACAGATAACCCTAGGCTTATCGGTTAATCTAGTCGACTACTTGCATTTCCTTCCAAGGGGGAAGCAGGATTTGGTGGTGGGATGGAGCTGGCTTAAAATCCAGTTTCCCTTAGCACCAGCTCCATGGTGCCACGTGTCCCCCTGTGTGCTGCTGCCTCTATCAGCACGTGGGGGAGGGGAAGCCGCTTGGGCCCACCATAGAGAGGGGCTGCTGCCAGGGACTAGCCTTTGTCTGCCGGGGGGTGCTGCTGGAGCAGCCCCTGTCTCTGGGAACCTCAGAACCCCTGCAGATAGGGATACAAAGGAAGCAACATGGGGTTGCAGGGGGCTCCCTGGGATGGTGCTAGAGCACACTGGCTTCTGGCCCCTCCCCTGGGAACTATAGAATAGTCAACTAAGAATTCTGTTACCTACTATCTAACATCCCTAATTATGAGGGCTGGTATCTCTTGGTTTTCATCTGTCTTATGTGACTAGGGACAGTGTGAGACTTCAGCCTGTCCTCTTGGACCTTTAAGTGTTGTCTGGAGAAGACAAACTATTTCAATTTAAGCAAAGTTCTGCTAATCTGTTTTTTTCTTCACTACTTTGGACACATAGATATGGGAAACATTTGTACAATGACAGGGTCCTAGTTTCCTCAGAGTTCAATTGTTCCCTGCTGTACCAGTAAAGTCAGAATCTTCTTCTGTTGGCATTACAAGTCTTTCCAATGAACTCCATTTTGATTTAGGAATTCAAGAATCTGATTCCATTAAATAACCCTAGGAAAGGAGGAGGAATGTGCTCTGTTTAGGAAAAAGATCTCCCTACAAATGTTTTGCAAAGAGTAGGTAATAGCCTCTGAAAACTGCATTAGCCAACCAGCCTTAAACCACCCTGTCCTGTTTTGCCTAGGCCAAAATTCTACTCTTTCCAAGTGTGTTTTTAGGAATATCTTTCTTTCCTTTAGGCATATTCAATCCTGCATCTGAATTACCATTTCTTCCAGGAGATGGCACTGTTTCCTGTCCTAGAAAGGAAGTCTCAGAGTTAGCCCTGTTAGTCTGTAACTAAACAACTGTATAGTATGAGCTTTCATGGGCAAAACCTGTTTCCTGAGATAATGAGCTGAAGTAAAATAACAGAAACCAGGTATTTTATAACAGAAAAAAAATACCTGTCAATTGTAGGACCAGTGCTAATTAGGGGTGTTAGATATCATTTATTTTAGTAATCATGTAGTCAGAATAATTTTTAGCTGTTATGGTTACTAAAATGCTCCCTTTGGGAGTGGGTCCAGCAGCCAGTGCGCTCCTATCACCTAGCCCCACTCCGAGGGACCCCCTGCCATCCCACATGTCCACATGGGGCCAGAGCTTCCTGCAGATAGAGGCTGCTCTGGCATCCCACCTGCCTCTTCCCCCACCCGCTCCGCTGCCTCTGATGCAAAGGCTCCCCCCTGCTGCTTCTGTGGGAGGCAGCACAGGGAGGCAGGCGGCTCTGCGAAGCCAGCACGCATGGAGAATTGGCTTCCCTTGTGTATTGGCTCCCCCCCCCCCCCCCCGCGCGCTGCTGCCTCTGAGAAAGAGGAAGCAGCGCGGGGGGAGGGGGGGGCAGGGCAAGCAGCTCTGCGGGAACCGATACACGCAGGGAACTGGCTTGAAATTCGGCTTCCTCCGTATACTGGCTCCTGCCTGCTCCCCTCACCCTTTGCGGTGCTGCCTCTGGCCGGTGGCTCCGCGGGAACCCGCACATGTGGGTAGCTTGCTTAAAAGCCAGCTCCTCACAGGCACCGGCTCCTGCTCCTCCCCATACAGAGGTAGCAAGGGTGTGTGTGTGTGGTCATTTGGATTAACCGATAAGCCCAGACTTATTGGTTAATCATTTAAATCACTATATGCTAACATCACTAGTGTTGTTGAAGCTAATTAAGTGGGTTGGAAGTGTCCCACATTTAGCTTTTGATGTAAAAATGCAGTGTTAAAGACAAGAGAGACTGGCTTTATAATGCGGCATCCAGTTAATGTGTCAAATTTGCAGATGAATACCAATTGTGCACACACTCGCTAATTGGCTGGTGAAAATCCTTTGTAGAAGAATGGCTACTTCTAAATCCATGACTGAGTGCCCAGGCAGGTTAACATGTCCTCCTACTTCTCCTACAGGTTACACAGTTTTATGTCTGTTACCATTTCAGATATCTGATTTGTGTCCATTTATCCTTTTTTGTAGAGACTGTCCAGTTTGGCCAATATACATGGCAGAGGGGCATTGCTAGTACTTAATGGCATATATCACATTAGTGCAGCTGTCTGAGCCCCTGATGATGTGGCTTGTGTGTTTAGGTCCTGTGATGGTATTGCTCGTAAAGATATGTGGACAGAGTTATAGGTTCCTGGATGAGTGTATCTGAGGTGCTGGAAAGTATTTTTCAGGTTTAGGGGGTTGTCTGAAGGTGATGATTGGCCCGTCTCCCAAGGCCTGTGAGAGCGAGGAATTGTTTTCTAGGATAGGTTGTAGATTGTCAATGCACTGGAGGCATTTAAACTGGGGGGCTATAGGGAGATGACCAGTGGTGTTCTGTTTAGGGATGTAAAAGAGCTGTCAATTAGTCAACTGCTACTCGCATTTCTCCCCCCTCCCCTTGCTGCCTCTATATCAGAGGCAGCAAGGGCATGGGGAAGCAGAAGCCAGTGCTGGGGGGAACCAGCTTAAAAGCTGGTTCCCCCAGCACCATAGCCAGGGGGCGGGGGCGGAGGGACAGGGGAATCAGAGGCATAGTGGTGCTGTGGCTCTTACTACATTTAAAAGGCAGAGCTGCAGCAGTCTGGATCTGGTGCAAGCCGGGACTACTTCAGTCCCAGTTCGTGCTGGGTCGCAGACTATCTCTGCTGCAGCTCTGCAGTTTAAATGTTGTAGGAGCTAGGCTGCCTGCATGCCGGGCTGCTATTACATTTAAACGGCAGAGCCCCAGCAGCCCCTTATCAACTAATTGTGTACTCAATACAAATTGTATGATTAGTCATTTACTCACTACTTAACATCCTTAGTTCTGTTGTTTTCCTTGTTGGACCTGTCTTGGAAAAAAGTAGATTCCTGGGTACTTGTCTGGCTCTGTCAATCTGTTTCTTCACTTCCCCAGGTGGGTATTTAAGTGTTAAGAAAGCCTAATAAAGATCTTTTGGGTGTTTGTTTCTGTCTGTGGGATTGGAGCAAATCCAGTTGTATCTTAGGGCTTGGTTGTAACAATCAATTGTGGAATGTGTCCTGGGTAGAAGCTAGAGGCATGTAGATAAGAATAGCAGTCAGTAGGTTTCCAGTATAGAGTGGTGTTAATGTGGCCTTCGTTTAACTGTAGTATTCAATTGTGGATCTCGTGTGTGGACTGGTCTAGACTGAGGTTGATAGTGGGCTGGAAATTGCTGAAATCCCTGTGGAATTCTTCAAGGATCTCCTTCCTGTGGGTCTATATGATGAAAATGTCATCAGATGACAGATGTAGGTGATATGGAGGCAGCAGTACAGGGTGACAGCTGGCTCCCCAGGAGCTGGACTGGGAGCTGGTGTATAACCAATAAGCTCATTACCCATTAGCGATTACACTCTTACATCCCTAGTCAGTGTTACCCTTACTGAGGCTAACGCCTGAACCCCACTATCCAGGACTGAAGTTCAAGGGATTGAGTTGAGGCAGTGGGGTGAGGGCTTCACTTTCTGTGTAATTTTTGTTGTCAGAAGAGGATTGCAGTGCAATGAAGATTGAGAACCATTGGATTGGACCATGTTTCATTGGCACAAAATGCTGTAATGTGGGATTTGAAATATTTGTTTAAAGTTCAGGATACTTTGCCTCTGAGAACTTACATTTATACCATACGTCAATGCCTTTTGTAGGAAAATGTAATGCCTAACTATCCTTAGTTGACAGAGAGAGAGAGTCATTTTAAATACAAAATGAAGTTGGAAATGCCAAGTCACAAAGCCTAATTTTGATTTACACATAGTTGATGAATTGCTCTTGCAACTTTTACTACTCCACTCCAGAGCAATGGCAGATGGTTTATTTCTTAATTAACTTTTTCTTTAGTATATCAGAGCTGAAGGGTTTTGCTCCCAGGGAGATTTTCTCCAACACCTGCGCTCTTTCTGGGGATTGCAGTAGTGTCAGTCAACTGGATATTTTCGTCCAGGGTCTGTTAGATTTGTCAGAAAAGAGGTTTTGCAGAGGGCACTAATCATGAGGACATTATCTTGTCTTCTAGAACTATTTAAAAGCTTGAAAGATTAACAAAGGGTATGATACCAGTCTGTTAGAGCAGCTAAGAAGAGGAAGCTTGTTTGGTAGTGATCTACCTTAAATTGCTTCCTCTAAAGCAGAGTTAAACAGGTGTGACCACAAAGCAGACTCTGCCTTGGCAGTAGGTAGTGCCCAGCTACGGATGTGTAGGAAATATGCAGAGACACAGGTAGCGGGGAGAGGAGAGAATGCAGTGAAGCCACAGGATGTAGTGCAGTGGTGGGCAACCATCAAGGTAAGATGCAGGCCACATAGACTTTCTGGCCACCACTTCCTGCAGCTCCCATTGGTCAGGAATGGTGAACTGTGTCCAGTGGGAGTTGTGGGTGGCTGTACCTGTGGACGCAAGTAAACAACCTCTCTGGCGGTCCAACCACAGTTTACCCTGTCGGGATGTTTATGGCCTGCAAGCCACAGAATCCCACCACAAATATAGTGCATTTGTATCAGAGCGGAAACAAGAGCCAAGCTGGATAAAAAGCTGAAACTAATTCAATCTGAATCCTACAATGCGCCTTGTTTACCACTGTGCCCAGTGCCAGAGGTGTTTGTCTCCCTGAAGCCCTGCGTGTCACTGTTATGAGCGTGGTGTTAATGTCTTTCCCATCACCTGGAAGTGGAGTTTATGCATCACCTGGAAGTGGAGTTTAAATACCTGCTCATCTTTCCCTGAGCGGTTTCACATTTCTTGGGAGCTGCCACTTCATTGATTTTGTACAGGAGTCTCTCCTTGCTGACAATGAGAGCTGGGTTGTTTAGGAGGTAAATAGTAACTAGGGCAGTAGGCAGAGTGCAAGATGTTAGGAAGGTACTTGCCTTGTCAAGGGTGGCACGAAGGGCCTCTTGTTTGCAGTGTCAGCAGAAAGACCAAAGATGTTCTTTGCTGAATGAGAAGCTTGCATACATCTCTGTAACACACCTGGCTAAATCCCAAGGGCTAGCCATGACTCACTGGTTGGCCCACTAATGTCACTGTTAACACGCTAACGCTAGGGATGTAAAGGGATAACCACTTAACTGGTTACCCAGTAAGCATTGCCTTACCAACATGCTTACCGGCGTAACTGGTTAACTAGCGTCCGGCTGACTGGAGCCAGTCCCTGCCTGTGGCATGATGCAGTGGGCCCTGCCTGACTGGGCCCACTGCCCTGGGCCAGTTAAACATATAATTTAACTGTTTAACATTCTAAATGGAATTTTCCATCCCTAGCTAAAGCACGTTCCTAGATTTGTGAGTTTTTGTTAGAACTTTTATACTTCTTCTTCCTCATTCATACGTGCTGGTTTGAACCAATCTCTGTGTGTGAGACAGACTAACAATAAACCCAGACTCCTAGTTTGGGATAACTAACAAATTCTTTCCTACTGTGGTAATGGGAATCCTCAGAGCTGTGCATCTCATCCATACTTTGACCCTACCTATTGCTTCTCTCTATTCAAAAGGGAAGGATGGATGGTCATGAGTGGCATATTTTAAAGTATACAGAATTAATGCTACAGAGAAAGTAGAGGAGGAGCTTCAGTTTTCCCTGTCTCCTAATTCACAAACAAGGGGACCTTCAATACCATTAAATGATGGAAAATTGAAAACTGATTAAAGGAAAGACTTTTTTCATCCAGCACATTATTAAACAAGAACTCGTCATAGGAAGTTGGTGAGCCCAAGTAAATAGCAAGATTCAGAAAGAGATTGGAGTAATACCAATGACCAGAGCATCTGAAGTTATAATAAGGGAAGCTAACATACATTTTAGAAAGGATTTAAAACCATACGCTCAGGTCTTAAACCAATCCCCAATTATTAGGAATGAGGATGATACTTCAACGGGAACAGATTATCTCACATCTGCCTACTGCAGATTTTTTTGCACCTTTCTCTGAAGCTTTTGGTACTGGCCTGTCAAGGGATAGGTTACCGGATGAGGTGGATCTTGAGTTGGATCCATTCTGGAAATTTCTGTTCTCTCTGAAGCACTGTATTAGATGTGGAGGAGCAGGCCAGCATTCAGGGGGTTTTTTTATTATTATTATTTTTACTTCCTTGCATACTCAGGTAGGGCCTAAGAGACAGTTCTTAGTGCCCTGGAATTGAAAGGGCATGGTTAAGTCATTGCTTCCAACTGCCAAATAACACAGTTGAGTGTTTCAGCATATCCTGAATCACATGCAAGAGTCTCTAGGTATTGCAAATATATTTAATGGCAGTGTTTGAAGCTGTGAGATGAACAATTTTCAGGGCTGCACAGGACGAGACACGGAGTGATTGTTCTATAGACCAAGAAAGTAAGACAGATTATTTCCAATTTGACAGGTGTAGGTTATACAACAAACATTTGATAGTCATGAATTACACAGTCAGTTACTGTGCTGCTCACAGGTGCCTCCTGAGATACTTTTAAAGCAATAGAGTATTCAAAATCTTTGTCTTGCCACTAGCCCAGCGCTCCCCATCTCCCATTGGCTATGTCTAGACCGGCATGATTTTCCGGAAATGCTTTTAACGGAAAAGTTTTCCGTTAAAAGCATTTTCGGAAAAGAGCGTCTAGATTGGCACGGACGCTTTTCCGCAAAAGCACTTTTTGTGGAAAAGCGTCCGTGGCCAATCTAGACGTGCTTTTCCACAAAAAAGCCCCGATCGCCATTTTTGCGATCGGGGCTTTTTTGCGGAAAACAAATCTGAGCTGTCTACACTGGCCCTTTTGCGCAACAGTTTTTCGCAAAAAGGACTTTTGCCCGAACGGGAGCAGCATAGTATTTCCGCAAAAAGCACTGATTTCTTACAGTAGGAAGTCAGTGCTTTTGCGGAAATTCAAGCGGCCAGCGTAAACAGCTGGCAAGTTTTTCCAGAAAAGCGGCTGATTTTCCGGAAAAACTGGCCAGTCTAGACACAGCCATTATGTTTTTCCCTCTTGGTTCCTTAGGAAAAGATTTGCACATAACACAAGACCCATTTAGGCAGCAAGGTGCATCTTACAAGAAACAGACATGTCCGAGATTGTTCTGCAAGGCGGGGCTTCCCCTTGGGGAGAACTTTACTAGCAATATGACAAAGAATGCTTCCTGCCTTTGACAGGTTCAGTACATTCTCCCTGCACTTCAAAAACACCACCAGTAATTGCTTCCTCCTACCCATCACCAATGAAAAAAGGTGGGGAAATTGTCTGGCAGAAACAGGCAGCTGAATAAACAGATGCACTTCCTGTGACTATAGATAGAAGAGTGCAAAAGAGGCTAGCGTTTAGCACTAATCCTGAATTTCCTCCTCAGTGCTCTGGCCCACAGTCTACAGCTTCCAACACTAACACCATGTCAGTGGGAGCTATGGATGCACTTGCAGCTGGACAATGTCAAGTTATAGCAAGTGTTGAGTTTGATTAATCATGTAAGTTATGTAGAGACAGTGCAACCAAGGAGATGCTGCTGAGGCTCATGGACCTGGAATAATAAAATCAAGTGTGTATCAAGCACCATATGCCGTATTTCTCAAAGGAGGGTTGGAAATACTACATTTCTGATCAGAACTACTCTTATGTCACTGACAGTACCTCTTCATTCCAATACTTACCAAGGGCTCCATTTACAAATTGAGCCAAGTGACTATCAGAGGGATGCTTAAGACAACAAAGTTTGAAACATTTGTCACGCTGAAGCTATGGGAGCTGTTGGGACTGCAGAGATCAAACAAGCTGCCTTGGAATTTGATTTTTCTAGATTCCTTTTTCAGAGTCTCCCAGATATTGGCTGCCTCCTTCTGGCATTCCCAAAGAGCAGTCATGGTGCACATGTGAAATTCATCCCAATACCTATAGCCAAGGGAAGATTGGAAGCTGTTAGGTTCTGTCTTGGATCTTTCTACTCTTTGGCATTTTAAATGAACTTTCTCCCCACTGGAAACTGTCTGTTCAGTTGGCCCCAACACTTATATTTGGAGAACTTATTTGGCATGTGATTGCTGTGTGTTCGGCATTATGCAATGCCTCAGTATAGAGCCTTAGTCCTGAACTGCTTACAGTGTAAGACCCTGATCCTGCAATGAGCTTCTCACATGAGGACTCCTACACTTCCTTGAGTGCAGTTGGGTTCTGCACAGGCTTATGGCTCTACCTGAACTGAGACAGCAAGATCAGAGCCTTAAAGAGAAACAGAAGCCAGACGCACTGGGAATGTGTGGGAGACTTGACCCAGTGGTGGTTTTAGTTAATGGAATCCTAGAACGAGAGAGTTACAAGGGACTGCCAGGGTTATTTTGTCAATTTCCTACCAAAATGCAGGCTTTGTTAGGTGTAAACCATCCTGGACAGATGACTAGCCACTGTAGCAGCTGGCGCCTTAGGTGGGATGGCGCAATCACCGCCCCTGCCTTCATGGCCGTCAGTGGCCATGACGTCATCATCGGGCGCTCGGGCCCGCGGTACCCTAAGCAACTGCTTAGTTTGCCTAGGTCCACGGGCCACCCCTGCTAGCCAGTCTCCAATGGAGGAGCTTCCACAACCTCCTTAGGCAGTCAGTTCCATTGTCCTACTGTTCTTACTGGAAATTTAGCTTTTTACCTCCCCACTCTCATGTCATTAATCCCCCTTTCTGATCTCACCGAGCTTATTTGCGAAAAACTAAAATCCCAGACTTGTTGAAGTATTTTTACACTTTTTTGAAAGCCAATTAAATCTATTTTTCATAAACTGATGTGTCCCCTTCTCCTCCTCCCCCCCACCACCAGCCCTATGCTTGGAACTCAAACTGAAAGTGAAACAGATTGAGAACAAATGTTTGACTGATTTCATTGCTGGTCTTTGTTCAGACTGAATGATGGGCACAATGTAAGCACAGACTGGGGATAAAGACATTGGCTCTGGAAAACTTTCAGTGTTCTAATCCAGTGTCTATACGGTATGAAGGATTCACTATTATTCCGGCATGATATCAAGTAAAAAAAAAAAAATGAGGTACATAAAAATAATAGTGATAGAAATGTAGCTGAAACAAAAACCAGGACTATGTAGCACTTTAAAGACTAACAAGATGGTTTATTAGGTGATGAGCTTTCGTGGGCCAGACCCACTTCCTCAGATCAAAAATTTGATCTGAGGAAGTGGGTCTGGCCCACGAAAGCTCATCACCTAATAAACCATCTTGTTAGTCTTTAAAGTGCTACATAGTCCTGGTTTTTGTTTCAGCTACATTTCTATCACTATTATTTTTATGTACCTCATTTTTTTTTTTTTACTTGATATCATGCCGGACTGATAGAAGTTAAAAACTCTATTAATAGGGTGGTGGTAGAGGAAGAAACAGGAAATGAAACAATGACAAAAATAAGACACTTTGAAGAAAATACCAAAGGTTTTGGATAAAACTATGTAGAATTGATTGAAAAATGCCTGGCTTGAAGTAAGCCAACAAGATTTTTTCTTCCCATGCCTGAACCTAGGATCAAAGGGAGATCTAATACCTTAAAGACCCTGGTCTCGGGAGGCAGGAGGGGTGCGCAGGCAGCAGGGGCTGGACAGGAATCTCTGACATAGAGAGAGGAAGGATGTTCAGGGGTTGTGTGTTGCTTCCAGCCCTGGAGTAAACAGCTCTGGGCTTAGTGGAATTTAACTAATCTTTCTTCTTTCCTTGCTAGCATTGGATAAATCCCATATGAGCTTTTGTTGTTTTATCCCTTCTCTCTGCATACTGTGTGTTGGTACTGAATGCATAATGCTGTTTTGGAGAACCTGGTTTTGAGTCACTTTAATTGGTTGCTTCTAGGGGCCTGCGGAGGAAAAGGGTTTACAGAGCCCAGATGCGGCTGGCATGGCATGTCAACACGGTAGGGAAACGGGGCTCCCACACAGAGATCTAGCCCAAGAGCAGTTGGACTCTGGGGTTCTGTCATTTGCAGGAAGGCCTGTCATTTGACAGGCTCTCAAGGGGAATTGAAGGGATCCAAAGAGCAGCTCACCCTTTAACTCTGACAGCGTCATTTGTAGAAGAGGCGAAGAGAATTTTTTATAACAAGGGGACCCAATTCTGTTATTTGGTTACATTATGTCCCTTTTATGCTTCTGGGACAACATGAAGGAATAAGAGGAGGGCCCCCTGAGAAAACCCTCTGTGCAGGGAGCCTCCAGGCCAGCAGAGGAGAGCTATACTGCCCTGTCCTGCCCCAGGTTGCTGAAGGTAAATAGGTCCATCTACAGTCTCTTGAGTTATTAGACCTGATGGTGAATTCTCCTCTGTCATCTTACTGGGTTTGCTGGCCATATTCCTCACTGAGGGATTTGATACACACATCTAGATGCTCTATCTCAAATTGGGGAGGTTTGAGCAGACTAGGGCCGCCCCTGCAGCCAGATGGACTAGCTGCTAGCAAGTGGCGCCCTAGGCAAACCATGCAATCAGCGCCCCTGCCTCCAAACCCCTCAATGATATTGCACCACCATTTGGTGCCCCGTTTAACTTGGCGCCCTAGGCAACTGCCTAGTTTACCTATATGGACAGGCCGCCCCTGTCTGGCTGGGGTCAGCACCACAAGCATGGGAAGACCACTTCTTTCTTGTTTCCTGGAAATGTCCACTATTTCTTCTTGAAGTATAGACATATGAGTGCTTTTCTTTTTAAATGGGATTTATGTCAGAACACCAGCTGCACAGAGTTCATTAAATAAAGCCAGTGTGGCAGAATAAATGTCTGGAGACCATAATGAGAAACATTGGTGCTAACAAGGTAAGCTCTTGTGTTCATTAGGGAGCTGCACGGCAGTACCCTGCAGCTGCTAAACAGGAAAACACAGCATGGTCAGGTAGGGGGTTAAAAATGATCTCTCTCTTCAAGCAAAAGATTAAGTGGGGCAGGGGAGAGAGAATGTCAACTTTTAGTGGTGGTTCTACTTTCAGCTGGGTGGTCACAATTCCCACAGTGCTTCCCTCTTCCCAGGCTCCATCTGTTCAGCTAGACAGGCTATGATCAAATGACTTATCCATGTTGGGCTTCGGGGAAATACTGCACGATCAGAAATGAAGAACAAATGGTGCCGATTTCATACTAGGCTGCCTTCCAAAGCATCAATTATTCTGATCTCCATATCTGTCAGTGGCCTCTGTATCTCACTCCTGGAGAGAACATGGCACAGGATGGGCTGGAGAAAACCATCCTACATCAGCTAAGCTGTAGATGGCAAAGGGAGAGTTAAGAGCTAAAGGCCAATAAGGGCAAGTTTATATTGCAGGGCAAAAGTCAAATTAAGATACGTAATTTCAGCTACGTCAACTGCGTAACTGAAGTCAAAATAGCTTATTTTGCCTTTTGGCGCTGCCTGCACAGCAGGGAATGGAAAGAAGAATGCTCTTTGACTTACTCCTTATGAAATGAGGGTTACAGGAGTTGGAGTAAGAAGTCCTCCAGCTCGACATTATTTCAAAATAACAGCTTGCTGTGTAGACGCACACTCTGTTATTTTGAAATACTTCAGAATAACTGATGTTAACGCTGCTGTGTAGATGTACCCTAACTGCCCAAGATAATACTTAGCAGAAAAGGGAATAGTGACTATTTTCCTTCAGCCACAATAGCCCAGGTTGTCTTGCAGGGTAGTCTATCCACTAAGAACTGCACAAGAGCTCCTGCTAGCATGGTCAGGACTCCAGTGCCACATAGCACCATCTGCAGTTCCAGTCTTTCACTGGTAATCCATATTTGTTTTCAGCCACTCCAGCAGCTTCCTAGAAAATCAGGTATTATTGCAAATTGGAACAGAAATCAATTTCTTTAGAAATTAAACCAACTTTGTTTTTAGAAACACCAAAGAGCTGTTTAGTAAAAGTCAAAAAGTGCAGTGGTATGATATGCTGTTGTGTGCTGCCAGGAAGAGATACAGGCTACAATTTGCAGTATGAGACATGGATTCCACTGAAAGCCCCTTTAAAGGAACTTGGGCATTTTCTACAACTAGCAAGATCCTATTTATCTTCCTTTCCTAATTCAAGCCAGAATCTTTGCCCAGCATTATCACTCCAGGCGGTTTTCCATGCTAACCCCTTCTAATGCTTATGGAAGTTCTAGTTTGTACATGGGATTTGTCATTTTAAAACAATTAATGAAAAATGTACAAAATGTTCTATTATCAAAATTAGTTTGTTTAATGCTGGGTGGACCTGACACAAAACATTTTGGTTTGTCAAAATAAATGGAGACATTTCATTGCAGGTCAGTGTGATATTAATCTGTGTGTTTGAGTTGTCATGCTACCTCAAGGGACTTACAGTTCAAGTCTTTCATGCCCCTTTCCTTCTCAATGGACAAGATCTCCCATGATGCACCAGTTCAAGACAAAAGCCAAGTGTGACATACTGGAATTTTCCATGGCATAAACATTCTGATTTGTGACCAGCTTTACTAGCTTGGGCCTCATGTTTCTCCTCTTTAGAGCTGGTCTACATTAGAAAAGATGCAATGGTTCAAGTAAATTGATTTAAAATCAGTCTAGTTAAAGTGGTACAAACCTGCAACGCGCACACACTTGAAACAGTTTAATCATTGCCCAGATTGGTGTAGTTTAATTCCATGCTAACTAAAACCCACTTGGATTAAACTAGTTAGTGTGTGTCTACATCAGAGTTTGCACTAGTTTAAATAGATCCATTTAAAATTGATGTAGCTACGCTGGTGCAGCATTACTAATGTGGAAAATGGGTGAGTTTCAGATTTGGTTCACAGTACAGGCTTGGGGAAAGTCACGTGTGCAAAGGTGATGGGAAAGAGCAATCAAAAACCAAAGAGTACTTAGGCCAGGTTTATGTACACCTGGCAGTGTGGGAGAGGTTACTTCGCACCTGGCTGCTGGGTCAGGTTCCATTCCTGGGATGAAGGCAGGGTTACTCCAAAGATCCCCCAGGAAATCAGAAAGGCAACTTTTCCTTCAGGGCACTTACTATCTAGAACTCCAATCTGTTCGCTGAACCAGCCTAGCAAGGCACCAGAGTTTTAACAAAGATCTCTCCTCCTATCTCACCATTCTAATCCACTGGGAGGCCTAATGTTAGTTTTCAGGACACTCCTATTTAGTGGTTAAAGCCAACAGGAACAAGAGGGCACAGCTCTTACTGACCAGTCAAAGAGGAAGGGGGTCAATTCAAGGAGAAGTGGGGCAGCTCCCTTCTACTTTTAGCTTAGACTGAGGATGCTGTGCTCAGCCCACTACACCCCATGCACAACCACGCACACCCCACTTACTTTTACCACTCTATAGCCTTTGTTACTTGGGCTATAAGATGGCAGACGTATCCCAGAAATAGATCTTGTGAACTGTGACGGGGCGGCCCCGCCCTGCACTCAAGCCCAGGGAAACCACCTGAAGCCGGGGGCGGAGAGGGCCCCACCCACACAGCCCTACTGTGCATGCTCCAAGGGGAGCACTGGTACAAAAGGCGGCTGGCCTGCTCAGAAGGGGCAGACTGCAGCCCGAGCTGGGGGGGGGGATGGAGAGGGCCCCACCCACACAGCCCTACTGGGCATGCTCCGAGGGGAGCCAAGATATAAAAGGCTGCTGGCCTGCTCAGAAGGGGCAGACCATGGTCCGAGTGGGAGCTAGCACCCAGCTGCCAGCGAGGGAGTTGCCAGGACTGCTGAATGTGCTGCTGCCAGGCCCCAGCCGCGCTCGCCCCCAGCAACGGAGCCGCCGGCCGACCCCCCCGTGACCCAGGCACCAGACTGGACACTGCCGACCTTGACGCTGACTGGGGAAGTGTTGCAACAGCCACCCGACCAATGCCGACAAGTGGGACCGCTACGGGCCGGGGGTAGGAAGTGACCCAGGGCAGGGAGTTGGAAAAGCCCCTGAGGGCTCGGTGCATTGCGGGGAGGACCCCCTGCCGAGCCAGTGGTGGGAGCCACCCGCCACTAATAGGGCCCGGTGGAGAGGGAGGGCCCGGGCCCCCCCTACCCCTCCTGCCCTGAACCCCGGCGAGTGGGGCGCTCGGCCTGAGGACTAGGCCACAGAGCCCTCATACTTTGGGACTAGGCCAGTGGGCCATATTACCCCTAAAAGAGGGGCATTGCACTTTGGGGCTAGGCCCAGGTGAGCTGAACGATGTCCCGGATGGGGGTGGCAACCCCAAACTAGGGAGGAGCCCCCTGACATGAACTTAATGGTGTCAGCTAAACAGAGACCTCACCCCTTATGAAGCTGGAGATACATATGTAAATAATTGGCTCCTGGATTGCATTACTTTCTTCAGAGCTATCTTAAATGATCTGTAACCTATATTTAAAACTGACACTGAGTTGTCTTGTGACATTAGCCATATCACCTCCTTCCTCTGTTCTTCAGGTACACCTATAATCTGGGGATAGTGATCCTTCTCTGCATAGGGGCATGGAAGAAGCTGTAAGGTGAATGTTTGGGAAGCACTGAGATCCCTGGATAGATGGTGACAGGAAGAAAAGAGAAGCATCCTGTACCCCTTTCAGAGCAATGTTCCCCTTTGCTCCACATTCTTGCACAGCAGTAGGAGGTTGGCTTCTCTCCATCTGGGACAAATAGCTCATGTACTAAAGGTCAGGGATCCTGCAGAGAGCTGGTAGGAGTCTCCAGTGGTGCAGGAGTTCTGTCAGGTTCCAATTTCCAATTGCTTGGGCTGGTGGGCTTCTCAGCTCGGTCCTGTATCTTTCTTCCCTGGCAAAGGGTTGCCTGTGGCATCTCGTTCCTGTTCCCATGCAAGGCTAGGAATTCATGTCAGTTTTCAGCAGCCCCATCAATCCCAGTCCCACTGTTTGTCCCTTTTTCTAACTCTGAGGTAGGAGAGAAATGCCTTCATTCCCATCCTGCCTGTCATTTCCAGCCCTCCCCCTTTCTTTTCATTCCCTATTAGTTTCAAATGTCCTTCCTCCTCTAATCTTCTGAGCCCTCCTCCTTGGGTGGAAAGGTTTACACCTCCCAGTACATCTGTTTTTCCTTTGATTGCTTTCTGCACCTCCTTATTCCCTCCCACACCCCCAGCCTTTTCACTCCGTGGATTCATTGCTGAGGGGGCTCGAAACTCCAAGCACCTTCATTTATCTCTGCCAACTTTTCATTTTCTCTCTTCGTCCCCCTCTTCTCACTTGCATTAATTCATTCTGTTTCAATCCAAGGTTTCCCTGAACATGCTCTGTGGTGAATTCCAGCAGCTTTGCTATTTTACCCCCTTCTTGCTTTCCCTTTGTGGCATAGTGGGGGTGCTGTCTGCTCAGTGACCCGGGGTCCCCCTGCACTGTGATGGGAGCTTCTCACTGACTCTCCTAAATGTGTATTTACCCAGGCTCAGCCTCCCAGGGAGAGACAAAGGAAGGAGGGCAGAGACTAGCACCTGGCTGGGGGGTAGGGCTGGAGGAGAGTTTTAGTTTTCGGTCTGGTTTCACGGAGGAAGCAGCCTAAGCAAGGGGCTGGGATTTAGGGGCCCAGTCTTCCCCCATCTCAAGGGGGGCTGAGGCATCCTAGGCCTGGCCCTGTAACCAGATTACATCTAAGCCAATAACCTCCCTCTATTCTACTGGCTGGTGGAGTCTGTCTGTGCCACTACGGGGGTGCAGGAGTCGGGGGAACCCCGACGTGCCATCACACCCTTTGGTCCTGATTAGGTTATCATCCCTGGTAACTGAATAGCTCCTCCACCTCCACCTTCGGAACTCGGGCTGCAAAGCTCATCTGCTCACTGAGTGGCCTGAAATTAATAGACTTTCACTAGGAGCAAGCTGGGCCTTGACCCTGCAGCATGGACCCTTGAGTTCAGCTTGCTTTTAGGCTGCTGAAACCTGATTAAATGCAGTTTGCAGCGTGATGCCAACTGCTATTGTGTGCTTAGTCCTCAGCGTGGCCTACCCTGGCAGGGTTGTTTGACACCTTTCTCACTGTGGGTAAGAGAATGTCTCATGAGGCCCTAAAGGCTAGAACCATGCTTAGCAGGAACCTTTATCTCCACCTCCACTAGCTGGGTGCAAAGCGTCTGCTGCCAGAATCTGAAGCTACGTCTACACTGCAGGCTTCTTGTGCAAGAAGTTTTTGCATATCTCTTCTGCAAAAAGCTTCTTGCACAAGAGCGCATCCACACGACAAAAGCGCATTACAAAAGCAATGTGCTTTTGCGCAAGAGAGCATCCAGACTGCATATACGCTCTCTCGAAAGAAAGCTCTGATTGCCATTCACAAAACAGCCACCAGGGCACCTGTGCTTTTTTTCGATTGGCTCTTTTTGGGCAAAAACCCTGTTGCCCATCCACACACACCTGTTTGCACAAGAGCTCTTGCACAAAAAGGAGTTCTTCCTTGTAGAAAGAGGAATACCTACACTGCAAAAACCCCTCTGTTCTGTCAATTTACTGTAAATTTACTTGCGCAAAAACACGTGTGAGGTATGGACACTCCGTGGGTTTTTGCGCAAAAATTGATGTTTTTGTGCAAAAACCCTGTAGTGTAGACGTAGCCTGAGGGTGGGGAAGAAATTATTATTAAGGACTGGTTCCATGGTAAATGCAAACTGCAGCCTCTGACCCAGGTCCTCCAGGGCTGAGAAGCCAGAGGGCAGTGAGCTCCTGGCTTATATTTGAAAGAAATCTTTGTCAGAGCAGTGAGAGGCAAGCACAGAATCCCAGTGGAGCAGAGTATCTAAACCCTTAGGAAGTATCTATTCAGACGGCTAAAAATGCACAATAATAATAATAATACCCAAAACTACACTGTATGGTTTGCATCCTCAGCTTGCATCGGGAGTCCCTGGAGGGTCTGCTGACTCCCTGTCCTGCAGCCTCTGTGATGCCTTATTGTCCAAGTCTGCATGGGACTGTGAGTATTAGGGTGCATGATTACCTGGGTGTGTGTTCTGCCTCTCGGGTCCGAGTGAGCATGGCAGCATGTGCATTTGCCATGTGTTCGTAGGGAAGAAAAGCCACAGCTAGGGTTTGCTACTCACCCGCAAATAGTGTGCAGCCCCTGCACATCATCCCCGGCTGCCTCCTCGTAGCTGGCCATGTTTTCCCCCAGTTTTAAGATGCAGTCAGAGAAGCCTTGGTAAATGTTTTCACATTTAGTTTCTGAGGCCAACGACCTGCTCAAATAGCCTATAAACCAAAAAGGGGATTTATGTAACAGTGTGGCAACCAGCCCTGCATCAACCCAGTGTGGTCGCCTCCCCACCACTTCTAGCATTTTCTTTGGGAAAGGAGCCATGTTCTCTGAAGGGCTCCACACATGTAAAAGCCTGTTGAGCAGTGGTGGGCACCCTGCAGCCTGTGCGTCACCTGCAGCACTCCCCCCTCCCCTTCCTCCGGGTTCTATGTGTGGCTTGCACGCAAGATTGCCAGATTCTGCTGGTTTTTGTCTGCACAGTGTTACCAAAGTGACAAATACGTAAAGCCAAGGCACATGAAGTGAGGTATGTGCACACAACTTTGACTGTAAGAGCCATGCACTCCCTCTGCATCCAATCAAAGTGCTGCTACGGTTCAATCAGCACACCGTGCAAATGCTAGGAAATACTGGGTCAGACCAAAGGTCCATCCAATCCTGTACACTGTCTTCTGATAGTGGTCAATGCCAGGAGCCCCAGAGGGAATGAATAGAACAGGAAATCATCAAGTGATCTCTCCCCGTCACCCGTTCCTAGCTTCTGACAACCAGAGGCTAGAAACACCATTCCTACCTATCCTGGCTAATAAACATTGATGGCTCTATTCTCCATTAATTTATCTAGTTCTTTTTTGAACCTTGTCAAAGTCCTGGTCTTCACTACATCCTCTGGCAAGGAGTTCCACAGGTTGACTATGTTGTGTGAAGAAACAGGTTTTTTTGTTTTAAACCTGCTCCTTATTAATTTCATTTGGTGACCCCTAGTTCTTGTGTTATGGGAACAAGTAAATAACTCTTCTTTATTTACTTTCTCCACACCAGTCATAATTGTATAGAACTCTATCTCATCCCACCTTGGTCTCCTCTTTTCTAAGATAAAAAAGTCCCAGTCTTTCCAATCTCTCTTCATATCAGACCTATTCCAAACCCCTCATCACTTTGTTGCCCTTTTCTGAACCTTTTCCAATGCCAATATATCTTTTTTTTAAGATGAGGTGACCACATCTGTATGCAGTATTCAAGATGTAGGCGTACCGTGGATTTATATAGAGACAATAAGATATTTTCTGTCTTATTCTCTATCCATTTTTAAGGATTTCTAACATTCTGTTGGGTTTTTTTTGACTGCCACTGCACAGTGAGTGGATGTTGTCAGAGAACTATCCACAATGACTCCAAGATCGCTCTCTTGAGTAGCTGTAGCCAAATTAGTCCCCATCATATTGTATGTACAGTTGGGATTATTTTTTCCAATGTGCATTACTTTACATTTATCAACATTAAATTTCATTTGCCATTTTGTTGCCCAACCACTTAGTTAAAACCAGATCAGACTGTGAAGAGCTTCAAAAAGATTTTACCAAACTATCTTGAGCAGATTAATATAATCTGCAAATTTTGCCACCTCCAGATCATTCTCCAGATCATTTATAAATAGGTTGAATAGGATTGGTCCCAGGACAGACCCTTGAGGGACCACACTAGTTACCTCTCTTCATTCTGAAAAATGACCATTTATTCTACCCTTTGTTTCCTGTCTTTGTAACCAGTTATCAGTCCATGAGAGGACCTGCCCTCTTATCCCATGACCGCTTGCTTTACTAAAGAGCCTTTGGTGAGGGACCTTGTCAAAGGCTTTCTGGAAATCTAAGTACATTGTATTAACTGGATCCCCCTTGTCCACATGTTTTTTTTGACCCCCTCAAAAATCCTAGTATATTAGTAAGGCATGATTTCCCTTTACAGAAACCATGTTGACTTTTCCCCAACAAATTATGTTCATCTATGTGTCTGACAATTCTATTCTTTACTATAGTTTCAACTCATTTGCCTGGTACTGATGTTAGATTTACCAGACTGTAATTACCAGGATCACCTCTAGAACCCTATTTAAATATTGGTGTCACTTTAGCTATCTTCCAGTCATTAGGTACAGACTCTGATTTAAAAGACAGGTTACAAACCACAGTTAAAAGTTCCACAATTTCACATTGGAGTCCTTTCAGAACTCTTGGGTGAATGCTATCTGGTCCTGGTGACTTGTTACTGTTTATCAATTTTTTCCAAAACCTCCTCTAATTACACCTCCATCTGGGACAATTCCTCAGATTTGGCACCTAAAAAGAATGGCTCATCTTTGGGAATTTCCCTAACATCCTTAGCTGTGAAGACCAAAGCAAAGAATTCATTTAGTTTCTCCATAATGAATTTATCTTCTTTGAGTGCTCCTTTGACATTTTGATAGTCCAGGGGTCTCATTGGTTCATGCTTCTGATGTTCTTAAAAAAACATTTTGCTACTTATTACTTTTTGATTTTTTTGGCTAGCTGTTCTTCAAACTCCTTTTTGGATTTTCTTATTATCGTTTTAAACTTAATTTGACAGAGTTTATGTTCCTTTCTATTTTCCTCACTAAGATTCTACATTTTAAACAATGCCTTTTTATCTCTCACTGCTTCTTTTACTTGGTTGTTTAGCCACGGTGGCACTTCTTTGGTTCTCTTACTGTGTTTTTTAATTTGCGGTATACATTTAAGTTGGTGTCTTGAAAAGTTTCCATGCAGCTTGCAGGGATTTTACTTTGTCCTTGTACCTTTTAATTTCTGTTTAACTAACCTCCTCATTTTTGTGTTCTATGATCTGTGCTATAGGGAAGGTCAGATGAAGATCTTGGGTATGGTCTGGACTTGGAATCTATGGCTGTGTCCAGACTTGACGGTTATTTCGAAAAAAGTAGCCTTTTTTTCGAAAACTTCCCCTGAGTCTAGACTACAGCCGCGTTCTTTCGAAATTAAATCGAAAGAATGCGGCTTTTCTTTCGATGGCGGAAAACCTCATTTCATGAGGAAGAACGCCTTTTTTCGAAAGTGCTCTTTCAAAAAAAGGCGTTCTTGAATGCAAACAGGGCTTCTTCAAAAGAGAGCATCCAGACTGCCTGGGTGCTCTCTTTCGGAAAAAGCGGCTTGCTTTTTCGAAAGTACTGCTTGCAGTCTAGGCGCTCTTTTTCGAAAGAGGCTTTTTAGAAAGTATCTTTCGAAAAAGCCTCTTTTAAAAGAGGCTTGCAGTCGAGACATAGCCTCTGAGACAGATATCAAAGAGTCCTGTGTGGTGGGAGAGAAGAGGCTGCTCTGGCTGAGGCGCTTAGTTTATTCATTGTGTGTCCTTCCCTCTATGACCCGAGACAAGAGCCTCGCTAAACAGCCCGCAGGGCTCCGAGCCAACCCCCCTGCTCCATGCCTAGGGGACGGGCAGCCGTGCCCCCTCCCACGGCGAGGGGCTGCTTAGCCGTCGCTGGGAGGAGCGGAAACGCGGCAATTGCAAGCCATGAGTTGCCCAGGAAGGAAAGCCCCGGGTGAGGTTCTGCTGCTGGGCAGGTCTCGCCCCCGCCGCGGGCTAAACAGCCCGCAGGGCTCCGAGCCAACCCCCCTGCTCCATGCCTAGGGGACGGGCAGCCGTGCCCCCTCCCACGGCGAGGGGCTGCTTAGCCGTCGCTGGGAGGAGCGGAAACGCGGCAATTGCAAGCCATGAGTTGCCCAGGAAGGAAAGCCCCGGGTGAGGTTCTGCTGCTGGGCAGGTCTCGCCCCCGCCGCGG